TTTGACATCATTTTTACTTGTAAAAACAAAAAAAAAAAAACTTCAAACTGTAATACTTTGTGTGATATCAAACTGCTGTCTCTCTCTCTCTCTCTCTCTCTGTGCGTTTTTGTCTGTATACGACAATGTTTAAAAACCTAAAAGATGATGCTTTGGAAGAATGACGTTAACAATAGGTTCATAAGGAAGCTAACAACGTTTATTATATTGAATAGAGAAAAAGTGAAGGAAATGTTGCTATTATCAAGAAGCCAATACAGATGCAGTGAAGTGTAATAGAAAAAAAAAAAAAAAAAATTGTATAAAATACAATATTGAATGTGAAAATGAATTTGGTTATAGTGTTATGTAAAGATCTTTTATCTTTCCTCTTTTTTGAAGAAGAAGAAGAAGAAGAATAAACCGAGAAAAGTTTGACAACAATAACGATAACAATTGACAACAACAGTTATTGTTCAGCAGTAAATAACAACAATAAAAACGACCACTTTCATTTCGGCAATTCTTTCTCTACTCGATGATCAAACTAACCCCCCGAACTAACCCAAATCTTCAAAACTTCCGTCTGGTAGCTACATACCACTGTTGTTAAATCGTCAATTGTAAAAATTTCCTAAATTGCTGCACGCAGCAATCCAAAAAAAAAGACAAAAAAAAAATGAAAAGAAAAAACTTATTAACCGGTTAACTGATGACAGTGAATGTTTCTAAAAATTTTTTCTTCTATTTTTTTAAGACTTCTTACCTATAACTGTTTCTGAACCTATACGACACGATAGCAACTACAAATATACACAAATAAACCATTCAAAATAGACATGCAAAAAAAAAAGGAAAAAATGATTATTACTATTTTTTTTTCCAAAGCAATTAAACTTTCAATTGAAACCTCTCTCATATATATATTTTATGCGATTATAAAATTACAAAATCAATTAAAGCAACAACTGATACGAAAAAAACTCACATTTTACTATTAAATTGAAATAAATTTAACAATAAAATAAAGTCTTCTATATGCTTTATTGTAATAAGAAACATTGAAAAAAATGCATCCTGAAAATTTACTTCCAGCAAAAAAATATTTAGGATCTGTATTAAAATCTGAAAAAGACAGCTAACGTACCAAAAAAAATAGAATTTTTTTTTGTGTTTTTTTTTTTTTTTCTTTAAAAATCATAAATTTTTGATATCAATCAGACATTGATCACCCCTGTTCCGCAAGCTGATTTTACATTAAGATCCTTCAACTACTTGGTAACAGACCGCACAACATCTGATAAAGTTTACGCTTGAAAACACCGGTACCTCGGTTGAACAATGTCTGCTCTCTGTTTGATTCGTTGTTGCAGTGATTCTTTTGGTGTACAGAGCAATCAACCATTAATATATGGCTACAATTTGAGTGATAAATTTTGCTATTAATTAAGACTGCTATTGCAACCAAAAAAAAGATTTATTTAAGTTTCATTTAAAAAAATACTAATCTGATGTTTTTTTTTTAGTATTTAAAAGCAAAAATTACAGAGAAGTGTAACTACAGTTGAAAAATGTATAAAAACAACTAATAACAGTCTCATATCGTCATCATCATCATCATCATCATCATCATTATCGTCATCATTTACGTTTGAGACTCACGGCCTAATGAGATCAGATAATGGTAAATGGATAAAAGAAACAACCTTCAACTAGTTGCGTAAATCATAGACTACTTTTTACTTCTAATCACAGATACATGGCTAAAACACTTCTCTGTAATAAAATATTTGCTTTTTTCTTTCCATTCAAAGTTTTTAAAAGTATTTAAAGCTATATTTAAATCTCTAATTACCGGGTATTGACACGAAGTTTCTTGATTCTTCTACAATTAGTAAGAATTAATCTTTTGCAAATATTTTCTCGCAGTTTTCAGCAATAGATTTGTTTAACGCAAAAAAGCTTTTCTATGTTAGCTTCTATTATTGTCGACGCGAAATTTGCTTGTACTATAAAGTATTAGAACGATCACTAAGCTGGATGCTAATGACAGAACTAATGAAAAAAAACATAAAGCATAGGAAAAATTTAACTGATAACCGGTACGAGACCCTACAACAGTATTCTTTGACCTTACACCGCCGTTATCTACTCAGTTGCTGACGATGACACTTCTGTCCTTTCAGATATTTTTGACAACACATCATTGGAATTTCTTGAACTTTCTTCAGTGTAACACGAAGCTTCTTCATCATCAGAAATTGTCGCATAAACTTTTTCTTCTTTTTCAGGTGTTTCTGGTTTTTCAGTCTAAAAATAGTTATCTTTTGTATAAATATTCAAATACTCTGATATGTTTGATAAGGGGTGATGCAGCACTAAACTTAGATCGTTGAACTCTTTCACAATTATTTTACCTTCTCATCAATACATTTGCTTAAAACTTATAGATTTTTCAACAAATCAATAAAAATTTAGCTGACAAAGACAGCAGTATCAGTAAAAAATTGTTAAAAAAAACCACTTTTTAGGTTTGATAAATAAAAATCTCTTCAAAAAGTGGAATATTTACCTTATTTTTAGTGAAAACTAAGTTCAAGCTTTCTTTTGTCGCTTGCCTTCCAGCGCTAGATGCCACTTTTCTACTTTCATTTAATATACGGTTCATTTTTTCAGCATATTTCTTCTCAAATCTGGAAATACCAATGGTGATACAGAAAAACTATTAGTTCAATTCAATTTTCAAGTAATTCATTGATAATTTTTTTGTCAGAAGTATAATCGCAATATTTACTTTTGTTTTTCCATTAGCATTTCCTGCTGTTCGATGACCAAAGCTCGATTGGTAACTCTTCGTTTGATCTGTTCCAACTCGTACCGGTATTGAGCATCTCGCTCTAATTGTTCTTTCCTTAAAGATTTTAAAATTGAACACTAAGTGCAAGACATTTTGTGCTTTTTGCTAAGAATTTCAAGAGGTGCTGAGTCAGAAAATCTTATAGAAAAATAAATTTGAAAAATAGAATTTGACTTTCTTGATACAAAAGCTTTAATAATCCAAAATTGTGGTGGATAATAATATTAATTTGACAAGTTTGAGTGATAAACCTCTTTTGCTGTAACTTCTTTTTGATATCATCATTAGGATCTATCATGGCATTAGACTGCAACTTATTTTTAAGTCGAAGGCGTGAAACTTGACTTCTTTCATTAGAGAGCTCGCACAGCTTTATATCTTTTTGTCTAGCCAACTCCCCTCGTTTCAACTCAGATCTAAAATTTCTTTATAACATTCTTCGAAATTTGACCATCCTTATTGTAGATAAGTAGTTTAACAAAAGGATTTGAATCCAATTTGCTCGTTTTGCCGCTACTATTGTTGTCAGAAATGAAAAATTTTTTTCTCTCCTTTAGTACCTGATAGCTTCATTTCTCATCAATGCAGCCAAATTCAATCGAACACATTTTCCTGTTGCATTACGAGGCGGACTTTTGCTTCGGTAAACCGTCTTTTGTTCAGGTTCAGCTGTACACTAAAAGCTGTTACAATATTGACTGAAGAACATTATTCCGTTACTGTTATTGTCACTAAACGGTTTGAACCCCCCAAAAAAACACTTTAAATTTATAAAAATCTTTCCTTTTTTTTGGAGTGTTAAAATACGCAATTTTTTATCAACTTTTAAGCCCATAAATACTGTTTATTATTTGCACATTTGAGAATTGTAAACCCCTACATTGTGATGAGAATGAGCACGAGATTCTGTCTCAAAATGGAATGGTTGTACTGTCGTGCTTCGACGTATCTTCCCATTTTCTAAATCTTCTGAGAGCTTTTTGTGTATAGCATTGAAATTTGGCACCTAAATTGTTGCGTTTAGTTTATGATTTTTAAAACAATTTTACTAGCCAGATACCTTTTTTCTTATCTGTGGACGATACGTCGGTGAAAGTGTGCCACAAGTTTTGGAATGCCGCAGATAATGTTGCATGTGAGAACGAATTACGTGTTCCTAAAATATACCTGTTTGAACGAAAATTTGAATTTTTTTTGCTAGATCTGGAACTAAAAACAACAAAAATAAAATTTTTGATTGTTCTACACTTTGTTTTGTAGACAAAAATAATTTTGCATGTATGGCAAAAGAAAAAAATCTCAGCTAAGTTTTCACTTTTATTGGCAAAAACTGCTAAACGTTACCCGATATTGTCAGACATACAGATATGAGAAATAGAGTTGTTTTAAAAACAGTTTTATACCTGCATATTTGATGGTGGATGACTACTGTTGATCAAGTTTACCGCTCGTTCACTCTTAGACCGAGCTCGTATTTCGGCATTAAGTTTCCGATCAAACGGAGGGATGTAAACTGTCAACGGAACTGCATTAGCTTTAAATGGTTTTTGTTTACCCCACTCAGAGGCTTCAGCACTTAAACAACGACGTAAATGATTGTTTCTGTTCAGATATTTAGACCTAATTTTTGGATATTCTTGTAACTTCTTTGTTTCAGCCAATTCTAAAGCCTTTTGATGCCGTAATTCACGAGCCTAAAACAAATTTTTAGAATTTTTTGCTCTATACCAAATGACTACTACAAATAGTAACAACTACCTTAGTTTATACGCTGAAATTACATTTTACTTTTATATTACTTTTATATTATTATTACTTTTATATTACTATTATTTATATTATTAAGTATATTACTGCAGTTTTACCAACATTTTCAAAAGCTGCCTGAATTTCTTCGTACTTTGGGCCATAAGTGGTCTTCGGTACTTCAGTAGCCTTAAACTGGCTGAAATAAACCGAGGAAATTTGATTTAGAAGAGTTTATCGCCCGAACACTAAAATAAACGTCTAAAAACAATACTTTTCTTTCACCCTTTTTTCTTCTTCTCGTTCTTTTCGTTCCTTTTGTTCAATATACTCTCTGATACATTTTTGAGAATGGGTTCGGGGGTTTGGCGGAGAAAGTTCCCTTAAAAATTATTGACTTTAACCACTATTATACGTATTGTTTTTACGAAAAACCAGACAAAGACAATCGGTACTTGTTTTTGTATGCACGTCATTAAGTCAGTTTTTCATCATTTATTGTTTTGTTGTTCATTTATAAAACACTCCTTAATAGGCCGTTTCTAAAGCCGATCAAATTATGACTGGGTTTGTTGCAACCATCACGACTCACATCTGTCAGTTTTTAGTATCCAATATCTTCAGTATAGAACAATGAATTGTATCACTACCTGATGATAATTTGATACGGTCTTAGAACTACATCAGTTGGAATCCATTCTTGTGTAAACTGCACAGTACGCTCTTCTTCCCACGATCGATTCTCCTGGTTAAGCGAATTTGCTGATCCAGGACGATGTTTTACGGCACGTTCGCAATTACAGCAGGCTAAAATATCGGGATGTGTGCAACTAGTTGGAAGTCTGCTTTCCCAGCCATTTGTAGCAAAAAATAGCAATTTAAATAAAATCAACTGCAATCTTTTAAAAAAAATTAGAAACCAGTATAATCAAAAGATATTGTTGCCGAAAAAAGGTTTTTTAGAGGTGCTTTGAACTACTCCCAAAAAAAGCAACTTTTCGACTCTTTCCTTTTCTTTTTTTTTTTTTTTGTAATCCATAACGCACTGTTTTGTCAACTTTGAAGGCTTAAACAAACCACACAGATAAGGTAAATAAAATGTGTAATTTATATTTATGGCTTGTAAAAAAAGAAAAGCAATTTATTTTTTTAGATAACTTTCGGCGAAACCACCCAACAGATAGTGCGAGAATTATCCACACTTATATTGCAATAGTTTTTCCCGTTTCACCGAATACACGACATTTGGAAAAACCGTGAAAATCTCGCTACCGAGACCACTGTTCTACAACGGCAGCGTTTCGCCGATGCAGCAATACCAGTATTGTTATGGCTAGAACTGACCACAGTGTTACAGATACGGATTTAACGGTTACCGCAGTAAGCCGAACAACTGCATTCACTGTTACTGGAAGTTGCCCAATTTTCTGTGATCGACATCGCTCTTTTGTGCTCGTGCCGCACATTTCTTAGATAATCCACATAACTTGGATCGTCTAATCTTTTTTCGTTCTAAAAGAACGCATACAAACACAGGAAGGAGAAGAAGCGGGGTGAGCAGAAAAAAGAAAGCAAAATAAACCAAAACACTTTTTTTTTTCCAAATTTTGATCTCCAAACACACACTTTGACCTTGAAATAGTTTTTTAATTCTTTCCTAAATTCTAAACCAAACAGTGTTGTTCGTTCTAGTATCGACCCAAAATTATTCATCAGAATTCTTCTCCGTTAGCTTCATATGATTCGTTACGGAACTTAAAACACAGACTCGTATATGCAGACACTCACACGATTACCATTACGCTGTTGTGTTTGCAGTAATTTTTGCTAAGTCTGGACAGATGGACCATTGACCAAAAAGTAGGTAAAAAAAAAAAGGAGCGAATAAATAAAAGGCAAAGTAGCAATTATTCTGAAACCAATTGATGATAAAAGAAAAGGTCACAACCCACACAGTGTACACAGCTCATTAATTCACAAATTTAACCACCTATAAATCGCATACACTTCAACTGTTCACTCATTCCTATAACTTGTCAGCACTAAGACAGAACTAACTCCCCAAAAAAGTTTCGTTTTATAAACCATTATTTTTCTACTCACTTGAAAAAATGTTTGTAGAAAACGATCCGTAACATCCAGGCTTTCTTCAACAGATTGCATTTGTATCGAGGTGTTGAAATGGCACAAAAAAAAAGACGTGTTAACCGATAGTAGTCAGCAGTAGTCGTACAATTAATAATAACCAATAGCCAAAACTTTAGATAATCATCAAAATAAAACCAAATTGCATCTGTTTGCAATGCAACAAATATAGCCTTAAAAAATAAATAAATAAATAACTTATTGGTAATATATCAAACGTTGAAATTACAGCATTGTAACAAATCGTCGTACACTGTTCTTTTTTTTTTTTTTGATCACTTATCCCAGTATCAAGTTATTCCTTCCGTTGTTTCTTTTGCTTTTCTTTCTTTCTATTTTACTCCACTATACCAGCAGCAACAAGCAGAAGCATTAAGCAAAATTTACACAAGATACAGAGCTGCAACAAAATCAAACTTAATCTATTTTGTTGTACAATATTCCAAGTAAAAAATTTAAACGGTTTGATAAACAAAGTCTCTACAAGAGACAGAGATTAAAATAAAGCAATATTAAATCGAGAAAAAAAAATTATAGATATGCCCGCTTTTCAATATACTGAGCTCTTTGCTATGGCCGTTGCTGTTGCAACAAAACCAATTTAACTACCGTTGCCATAGCGAACAAATAAAAAAAAAAATTTTTTCTTTCAGTTTTCACTATTTTTTGCTTTTTGAAGATTATCTTCAATACTTTTTTTTTTTCTGTCATTGTTGTTGTCTGCTATTCAGTTAATTGATATTTTAACTATATGGATAAGATAAGCTAAAAAATTTTAATTTTTATACAACAGCAGCAGCAGCAGCAGTAATAAGAACAAATTGTTGGAAGCTATCAGTTGTTGTTTAACTGTCTTATCCTTTCGTTAAATTTGTTGCTAAATTCCTGCACTGTTATGTTCCTGCATTTTTTTGGACTTCCTTTTTTCACTACTTTCAGCTCCAGTGGTAGTGATCCCAAAAAAAAAATACAAGAGCAATTCAAAATTGCATAAAGCTTAAGGTTGGATATAGTTGAATTAGTAATAAAGTTTTATTCTTTCCCCCCCCCCCCTGAAAAAAACGCTGTATTTTGAGTGCAGTGAATGACAGAACAGATTAAACACTTAATGCTTAACCATACCAAATTTGTCTGTTTAAAGTATCTTATTTTTTGGAAATATCGTTTGCTTATGCTATTTATATCTTTAATAAAAACAGATTTTTAAAAGCAGCATCAAATCAGATAGAAAAAAAAAAAAATTTTTTTACTGTACTTTGATTTTATTTGCAGTTAATGCAGATAATTTTTTTTGTCTAGCAAAAAAATTTTTTTTTGTCAAAAATTTTTAGACTAAAATGTTTGGTCGTTGAAAATAATATTGGCCATACTAATACCACCAATTCATACATTTTTGCATATTTTTTTTTTTTTTTTTTT